GCGCAGTTAGTCCATAGTTAGTCAGCAGTTAGTCTCTTCACCGTCGGCGCGAGCCCTTGTCGCTTATAGCCAGGACCACCTCATCGACCATGTAAAACAGTAAGAAACTCTTATCTCCATCTTGCTTAACTCGGCTCCTATCTGTTCATGGAACTTTCCTACTACAGCTGTGCCTCTTCGTTTTGTGTGTGTGGACATTCCCAAGCTTTCTACTCTGCCTCGACCACGACTGCCTGTACTCTGTGAAAGCTGTTAAAGGTCTTCCAAAGTGCAGAGAGGTACTGGAAAACTCACCACGCCCTGACTGTCCCTCTCGGTTACTACAGGTTTGACCCTCGGTTACCACAGCTTATAGCGAGAGTCGACAGGATCTCATCACAGATAAGTCGACAGCAACTCTTTACCACATCTAAGTCGACAGGATTCTACAAGGCTTACCAGACCTCACACTTCATCACAATTAAGTCGACAGGATTCTACAAGAGGCTACCAGACCTCAACTTATTACATATATATATTAAATAATTATTGAAATGGGGAGGAATATATTATTTGCTTGTTCTTGAATACAAAAGTATACAATGGTATGCAGTTAGACTTTGGAAAAATATAGTGAAACAACTTTAAATGTGATTATGAAATATGTAAGAATAATTCGAGAAAGTAATACCTGACTTGAGTAGTAAACTAAAATACTTGAATACGTATTTACCTATTTACAGAATAATTTGTACCAGGCCAAAGGAAATAACAACAGTGAATTTATATAGTCAAAGCAGCGCTACATGGCGACTGACTTCACAAAGTTGTATTAGAAAATTATATTTCAAAATTAAATGAATGTTTTATATATAACATATACATATATATAGGCATATACTGACCGCTCACATGAGCTTTTTAGATGGCAGAGCGCCATCTCGTGGAGAAAATATCAACTAAACGTTGATTTAGCTTGTTCCCTGATATTTAGCCAACCAGGAACGCCTTTCAGTCTGTTGGCCCTCATTTTAAATATGATTTAATTATTTTTTCATATATATATTTTTTTTTTTCAGGATGTCTTAATGACCAATTTTTTGGTCGTTGAGGTACAGCTTGCACCACGCTGATGAGGACCAACAGCCCGAAACGCGTCCGTAGTTAGCTTTTCTTGATTAATCAAGAATGGGTATTTGGCCATTTCTGGAATAATTAAAAATCAACGAGAATAGTTGATATTTATTCCGATAGATGGCGCAAGCCATCAGCAACTTTCAGTTGCACGATAAGGAGATGCCTTTTTCTTAATATATATGATGCACTAGCGCGCCATCTGTTATCAAAATTCGAAACTATTTTAAAGGCGTAAGATTCTTTTTGAAATTAAACAATTTCTACTGCCCTTACTGCATGGCTAAAATATAGATGGAAAATTTGCCGGAAAAAAATTGATCTAAAGAGGACAAGGGTCGCCTCTCCCGTCAAAATAGACCTCTAAAACCAGACGCCATCTATTGACCGTTGCTGCAACTAGCTGCCTCGGGTCAGTGACAAAGCCACAACACCAGCTTTGGCAAACTGAAAAGAGTCCACCTAGACTGATGAGGGACATTAGCCCGAAACCATGGTCTCTAGGTGGACGCTTTTCAGTTTGCCAAAGCTAGTGTTGTGGCTTTGTCACCGACCCGAGCCGCTAGTTGCAGAATAGAAATTCGGCAAAGCCAGGGACGATATAGGCTCAACGGCCCTTGCATCCCCTGTTTTTCGCTGAAAAAACATGTCACACAGCCAGAACGGATGATGCAATCTCATGCACCGAGCGGCCATTGGTAGGCCCCTCGCGCCCGCCATTAAGGTCTGGCTCCATGGGGTTGACCATTCACCCACAGGCGTCTCCGAGAGTTCATTGGCAAGGTTGCTGACCGAGCCCTCCCGTTCGAACTTAGTTAAACCCGTCCTACGCTCCAATAGGACTCCCCCCCCCCCCCCTTTAGCCCTCGAACCCTTATCCAGTACTCCCTGAATCTGCCGTCGAATCAAGGACCTTTGAGGTACTGAGGTTTACGCAGGGAACGTCGTGAACGCGGGGGGGTGGTACTACTGTGTGCACCCTTGGTTTTTCATGGTGCGCACGGCAAGGACGCTCCCAATGACGCACACACAGAGCGAAGACCCAAGAGTTTCAAGACACGTGCGCCTCGCCTCAGACAACCAAGGGCAGACGGCCAGCTTACAGCTTCACTGGACATCAGCCAGTGGCACTCCGACGGAGGACAACACGCAGAGACGCCTCTCCACTCACTCCCCTCTAGAGTGATTGTAGAGGGCGGGAAAAACTCCTTCCCCGCAGCCGCTAGTTGCAGATAGGAAATTCGGCAAAGCCAGGGACGATATAGGCTCAAAGTGGCCCTTGCGTCCCCTGTAGTTCGCTGAAATCTAGATCCACACACAGCCAGAAGGAATGATGCATTCTCCATGCACCGAGCGGCCATTGGTAGGCCCCTCGCGCCCGCCATTATGGTCTGGCTCTCTGGGGTTGACCACTCACCCACAGGCGTCATCGAGAGTCATTGGCAAGGTTGCTGACCGAGCCCTCTCGTCGGACTTAGAAGAACCCGTCCTACGCTCCAATAGGACTCCCCCCCCTTTAGCCCTCGAACCCTTATCCAGTACTCCCTGAATCTGCCGTCGAATCAAGGACCTCTGAGGTACTGAGGTTTACACGGGGAACGTCGCGAACGCGGGGGGGTGGTACTACTGTGTGCACCCCTTGGTTTTTCAACACCAGGCCTAGCCCTGGTGCAATTTTCGCGCACGGCAAGGACGCTCCCAATGACGCACACACAGAGCGAAGACCCAAGAGTTTCAAGACACGTGTGCCTCGCCTCAGACAACCAAGGAAAGACGGCCAGCTTACAGCTTCACTGGACGTCAGTCAGTGGCACCCCTACGGAGGACAACACGCAGAGACGCCTCTCCACTCACTCCTCTAGAGTGATTGTAGAGGACGGGAAAAACTTCTTCCCCGTAGCCGCTAGTTGCAGCGACGGTCAATAGATGGCGTCTGGTTTTAGACGTCTATGTTGACGAGAGAGGCGACCTTTGTCTCTTTAGATCAATTTCCTCCCGCCAAAATTTCCATCTATATTTTAGCCATAGATATGGCCCAGCCACTTTACCAGCTAAACACCTCTTTGGCAGATTGTCAAGATTCCATTAGATCCCGCGTGGATTTCATGGTATAAAGTCCGCCCTAGACTGACGAGGGCCATTAGCCCGAAACCATGGTCTCTAGGTGGACGCTTTTCAGTTTGCCAAAGCTGCTCTTGTGGCTTTGTCACCGACCCGAGGCCGCTAGTTGCACCGACGGTCAATAGATGGCGTCTGGTTGTCGACGTCTATTTTGACAAGAGAGGCGACCCTTGTCCTCTTTAGATATATATATATATATATATATATATATATATATATAATATAACGCAGCTGATGATTGTAAAACGAAAATTAAAATTATACCGCGAATGTTTCTTTTAAAAATCGAAATTTATTTTCAAAGAGAAATAGCGACATTTCTTACTTTGAGGATGAGGTATGGAAAGGTGAAACATGAAGAGTAATGGAGAACGGAAAAATAAAAGTGTCCAGGGGCGGGAATTTATTTTTCCGTTCTCCATTACTCTTCATGTTTCACCTTTCCATACCTCATCCTCAAAGTAAGAAATGTCGCTATTTCTCTTTGAAAATAAATTTCGATTTTTAAAAGAAACATTCGCGGTATAATTTTAATTTTCGTTTTACAATCATCAGCTGCGTTATATTGTATTTTAAATGTTACTTTAAATATAAGTTATGAACGGAAAAATACGTCCAGGGTAGCCGAGTGGACAAGGCACCTGCCCGGTAAGCAGAAGGGTGTGGGTTCGATTCCCGCCCCTGGACACTTTTATTTTTCCGTTCTCCATTACTCTTCATGTTTCACCTTTCCATACCTCATCCTCAAAGTAAGAAATGTCGCTATTTCTCTTTGAAAATAAATTTCGATTTTTAAAAGAAACATTCGCGGTATAATTTTAATTTTCGTTTTACAATCATCAGCTGCGTTATATTGTATTTTAAATGTTACTTTAAATATAAGTTATGAACGGAAAAATACGTCCAGGGTAGCCGAGTGGACAAGGCACCTGCCCGGTAAGCAGAAGGGTGTGGGTTCGATTCCCGCCCCTGGACACTTTTATTTTTCCGTTCTCCATTACTCTTCATGTTTCACCTTTCCATACCTCATCCTCAAAGTAAGAAATGTCGCTATTTCTCTTTGAAAATAAATTTCGATTTTTAAAAGAAACATTCGCGGTATAATTTTAATTTTCGTTTTACAATCATCAGCTGCGTTATATTGTATTTTAAATGTTACTTTAAATATAAGTTATGAACGGAAAAATACGTCCAGGGTAGCCGAGTGGACAAGGCACCTGCCCGGTAAGCAGAAGGGTGTGGGTTCGATTCCCGCCCCTGGACACTTTTATTTTTCCGTTCTCCATTACTCTTCATGTTTCACCTTTCCATACCTCATCCTCAAAGTAAGAAATGTCGCTATTTCTCTTTGAAAATAAATTTCGATTTTTAAAAGAAACATTCGCGGTATAATTTTAATTTTCGTTTTACAATCATCAGCTGCGTTATATTGTATTTTAAATGTTACTTTAAATATAAGTTATGAACGGAAAAATACGTCCAGGGTAGCCGAGTGGACAAGGCACCTGCCCGGTAAGCAGAAGGGTGTGGGTTCGATTCCCGCCCCTGGACACTTTTATTTTTCCGTTCTCCATTACTCTTCATGTTTCACCTTTCCATACCTCATCCTCAAAGTAAGAAATGTCGCTATTTCTCTTTGAAAATAAATTTCGATTTTTAAAAGAAACATTCGCGGTATAATTTTAATTTTCGTTTTACAATCATCAGCTGCGTTATATTGTATTTTAAATGTTACTTTAAATATAAGTTATGAACGGAAAAATACGTCCAGGGTAGCCGAGTGGACAAGGCACCTGCCCGGTAAGCAGAAGGGTCTGATTCCCGCCCCTGGACACTTTTATTTTTCCGTTCTCCATTACTCTTCATGTTTCACCTTTCCATACCTCATCCTCAAAGTAAGAAATGTCGCTATTTCTCTTTGAAAATAAATTTCGATTTTTAAAAGAAACATTCGCGGTATAATTTTAATTTTCGTTTTATATATATATATATATGTGCTTCAAAAATTGTGTGTGTTGTGTTGTTGTTGTGTTGTGTGCCCTATAATTTTTAAAAATAAACCTGCACGCTATAAACAGTTCATATTTTCAAAAACAGAAGACGCGGTAATGCATCATGCTTATATTATGTTAATTGTCTAATTATTGTTCTATAATATAATTTGGTTTCAAATAATAAAAAAAAACTATACAAAGTGATTTGACATGAAATACTTATATAGATTTATGTGTGCTATGTAAATAATATTCGTCATTGATTACCGCCTATGGAATTCAGAAGATGAAATACCAGTTCAGAGAGATGTTTTTCGATATTCTGGCAATCCATCATGTAATTACAAGTCCAAAAAGCTGTTGTTATCAAGACATTTCTCCCATTGCTGGCAGTTTACCAACATTTTTTGACCTGATTGGAGTCGAAAGGAAAATTTATCGTTTATACCAAAACTTGGAGGATCCATCTGTCAAGTTAGGAAATTGTGGAGAAGTAAAACTTTCTATTTTACACCAAAATGTAGAGAACAAACATGTCAAATGGTCTATTTGACAGAGTGTATTAATGTGAGAATTGCTTCTTAAGAATATTTCTATTCAAACACACATTCAATATCTATATATAAAAAGGGAGTCGATGGAAGAATGGTCTAAACCATTGATTTTCAACCGCTATGACCCGGGATCGAATCCCGCATTGGGCACTTTTTTTCTTAATTATAAAATGCTCCAATGGCCCCCGTTCTTGCAAAAGTCCATCCCACTAGCGAGTGCAAGCAACCAAACCGGGCTCTTGCACATTTGTAAATACAAAGTCGAACTGCTTTTCACATGTGTAGACATGTGGTACACAGTAAAATAAATCGCTAACTAGCCACCATGATTATCATTGCCTGTACCACGTGTATTAGGTATTTAAAAAATCTATATAAATTCAATTGCTCTCTATCGATAAAATTTGTAATAATATAAGAAACACATTGACAGTAAATATAATTGTTATAAATTTTATTTAGTATCTATATGAATAAAATGTATGATGAAAATGAACCAAAAGGAGGTATCTCTTCTTATAAAGTGCATTAAAACAACGCATTTGTTTATCATTCCAGTGTAGAATGCAAAGTTTGTATGATAGCTTGAGTCGCAAAATCAGTTTTGGAAAATTCAGACAAAACCCAACCTGTATATCATAGTTTCTGGCTATGGCCGTCAACATTTCAATGTAAGGAATGCCCCATTTCGGAATATAAATACCATATTCCCGCAAATTTGCGTAAAAAAAGGAAATGTAAGTTTGTCTGTTTATCTATTTTACATACGCTTCCTAGTTGAATATAGGAAATCGCTATATAATATAAATGATAAATAGGTCAAAATATTTCGCAATAAATTTGACCAAAACATGGAGCTTTCGACTCTATAACAGGTAAAATTGAATCTTTAACGTCATGTGTGTTTACACTCTTAGATTAAATTTTGCCCGTTGAAGAGCGAGAGTTCAAAATAAGGTAACTTATTTCAAGAAAGGTTTTGATTTCTTTATAAAATTCGTTTCCACAATACTTGATATAAACCTATGAAATACCGACACCTTTTAGAGTTATTCTGAATGAAGACACTGCCAATAAATATTTTTCATCAAATTTCAAAATACATGTTGATTTATTTTAATTATTCTGTGGCACAAGACGATAAATGTGAAAGAATTATTTTTTAAAAATTCCTACCTCAAATCTTTGCACCAAGTTGCAGCTTTGCAGGGTCGTCGACCTTGGTTTCTTCCTTCTATACACGTTTCCCGAGCGGATTTCCATATTCAAAGCAAATTAATAAAAGTAAACAAAAATAAATTACCTTTCAAAGTTAATGTGTTTATTTATTCGTCGTCTTCCTCGTAGGTCGTGATTCGCCGTCTTTCTCTCGGTCCTCTCTCGCTCCAATAAGCAATCAAGATATATGTAAAATAAAATATTACAAAAGAAATAACTATAAAAAGGAATGATGATAATCTAAATATTCTGTTTTAAATAAATATTAAATATCATAGAATATTTTGAATAGATGTAAGGCGCATTAAAATTGATGCAACACTATCAATACTACTTTACTGATACTAGGACTACTGTGCTATAGAAAATAAGGAAATACAAACCTCAGAATGACACAGAAATTTATTTAATTAAAAAAAAAGAAATACCAGAGTACCATTGAGTGAAGTTTACAGTGTAGCAGAAAAAAAAGATAAAAATAACTAGATATTAATAATATTGTATATTAACAATATTGTTGGGTATTAAAATGAGCGACACAAAGACAATTTGATTAAAACAATTTACAAATAATAGACATCGAATATTAGAGTCAGTGGGAGAAATTTGATGAATAGAAAAATTAGTGATCTTGAGTCGAACTGCTTTTCACTTGTGTAGACATGTGGTGCACTTACATTAAAAGCAGTCGTCAACATCGACCTACCAAGATTATCATGGCCTGTACCACGTGTACTAGGGATAATTTTAAATGATAATAATAAATTTCATTTTAAATAAAATTGAAGATTCTGCTATATATATATACATGGCTACCGGAGTTGTGACCCACAGCTTTCAGAGTTTGTTGGAATTGACATGATTCTCATTTGTTACTTTCACGAATTTCTTGGCGTCTTGAAAGATATTTTTCTTGCGCTGTTCATAGCGATTTTGTGGTCGTAGCGTCTATATGGGATGTTAGCGTTTATATGAATATTGTCTTCTTGGAGGGAAGTCTTCGCTTTGACATGGTGGTCGAAAACTGGAATTGTTCACGGAAATTGTAGATCACAGAACTCTCAACCTCAACTCTTCGTCTTCTTAGCCATCTTTAGTTTGTCTTCCTTAAACTACCCAGCAATCCACAATTCATTAAATATAAAAATTAATAAAAGGTTAATGTGGATAATTAAATATGTCATTGAAATAATAAAGAGTGTTGATGGAGGAAAGATAAAGCTTTTATATCGACAATCACCACACCTTTTTTTGAGAATCAAACTATGGATACACTTTTTCTGAATAAAATTATTGCTCCGATAAATCTCATTTAATAAAATACATTAGCGCGCCATCTGTTACCAAATTCGAAACTATTATAGACGCGTATGATTATTTTTAAAAATAATCACAGGTGTCTATAATAGTTTTGAATTTTGAAATCTCATTTATATCAATAATCTAGACCCAACACTAAGTGCAAGCAACCATACGAGACTCAGACACCTTATAAATATAAAACTCAAATTGTTTCCTACAATTCCTGTGATACAAAATGGGGGTAAAAGACAACTAGAAACCATCCACCATGAATTATCATGGCCTCTACCCTGTGTGTGCTTGGAATAAGTAAAATTTTAATTAAAAATAATATTAATAATAAACTCATAACATATATTTGTTTGGAAAACATCCGGGTCATTCATCCGGTGCTAGGTAAGAAAAAATCCAACTCACGTGGTAGGTGGAAGAATAAAATACAAAATTTGTCTGTTTACCAAAGACAAATCCCATTCCATAATCCTTTAAGATAATCCTTCCTTTTCCCTCTCTCTACATCGGTCCATTTTCTTGAGGACTCTATGGGGATTAAAATAAATCCTTTTTATTTTGTTATCTGTGTGTTTTCAGAAATCTCTTTCTCGATTATAAGAAACAAATATAATTTGTTTTTATACAAAATTTACTTTATAGTATTCTGTGATGAAAGTTATAAAATAAATATGGGTATTTATCTTGAATAAATAGCGGGTTTTATTGAAAATACGACAAGTTCTTTAAAAGTGACTATCTTCATTTATTACGATAAAATGAAGCCAATAGCTTTCAACCTCTGAGTAGTTCATCATCAAGACCATAACCTGATGAAACGCATTCCTATGACTAATTAATGAAACAAAATGTTCTTCTGTTCTTCAATGAAATCGACAGTGTCATAAGTATCACGCACAATCCTCCAATACAGGATTAGTGCTCTAAAAAGCGGTATGGTGGATTAAATTGGCAAAACCACTGGGAGGGCTCACTACTGATGAGAGCCATTTCAACATATATTTATTCATCGCAGTAAGGGCAGTAGAAGGTTTTTATATATTTTTAAAGATAATCGAGCTCTTAACAGTTTTATATATTGATGGCTATTGATGGAGGTGATTTCCTTAGGTTTAAATCGTATGATTTCATTTTATTAATCAACCAGGCGCGATATTGAAATATTCGCACCTATTACAGAGGAAACGAATAAAACAACAAACAAATGAGAGCTTAGAATTAAATATTTACAAATTTACATGTATTATTCGACAGAGTTCATTTGTTATAATAAAACAAACTAACATCTTTATAAACCCAAATTTATCGAATAAAGTGACATTTAGCTAGAGTTTAGGCAGCTTTGACCGATACCGTACGTTGCTGCGATATGGAAAATTCACCTAGACTAATGACTATGACCTGAAATCGCGTTGGCCTGTTCATCAGTTTGGTGTTAAGCATAATGGTGTCTTACATTGCAAACTAGCGTCTCACATAAGCGTCCTTGTATATAAAACCCCTAGTATGTCTATCCCTAAATATTGTCAGGTAATGCTCCCCGCTAAACTATATTGTGATCCATCATCCGTTGCGTTATGTATTTTGTTTAACTCTCAGTCTGTTTTTGTTTCATCATACGGAGGTTGTAAATAGTTTTCATGTGAAAAATAAATTTGTTTTAGCTAATGATTACTCGGTTTGGGTTTCACTTTTTTCGTCACACATTTTCGTAACATATTATCGTGACAAATATTTTTGAGACACATTATAT